GGGGGGCATGGGGAGGGTTATAATTTCACTAAATAATTTTAGATAAATGAATGAAAAATAAGAGTTGTATCCATCGAGAGCTTTCCCATCCATCCTGACCCGTCCGTTCTGTTCTCCCTGATATACTTTTTTTCTTCTCTAAGCAGATTGCCCTGGAAAATCCTTATGGGATGCCATCTTGTTTAGTTTAACCCACCCCTCTTTGTTGTTTTAACCTGAGCCCAGGTAATTAGGCCCATGATTTAATTGTCTCCAGCATTAGACAGCGTTGGGCTGGTGGCTATTTTAAAGGGACCCTCAGGGCTGGAGAGCGAGAAGCGAATGGTGTTTGTGTCTAGGATTATTTCCAGTATTTGTACCTCTAGGTTGGCATTTCTGGAGCATTGGCGGCAGGCTTTGAAAGATTTAGTTAAAAATCAGCTTATGGATTCCTCCCTAATTGACTTGGCCAGGTTTAATCTGTTACTGGTCAAGGCAAGCTGGCTTCTATTATGTAGCGCGCTGAGGATTTCCGGTGTTGTTCTTATACTAATAGAGGCTTGTTGTTTTTAGAAATCTTGGTGTTGGTGAAGGCCAGGCTCACTATGAAGCAAGCTCCAAAGGACTTCCATCTGATACAGCATTAAAGACCTTTAACTGAAAAGAGAAGTCTTGTATTTGGCATTTGCATACTAGAGGGTTATGGTTTTGTTAGCAAAGCTTCCTATTTGGTTCTGCCTCTTTGGGTTGATCCCTGGGAATGCTCAGGGTGCCCAGTCCAAGCAAGCAACACCTGCAGCAATGGAGCATCTGCAGAGAGTGGCTTCTCTTTGTCTAGTGTAACCAGAAGTGACAGCAGAGGTGGCGATAGGAGTGTCCTGTCACTCCAGGCTTAGCATGGCAAGAGAGAAAGAGAAGAGACCTTTTGTTATGGGGTCAGAACAATTTATGGGAACTATTACAGAGTGTCAAGCCAGCACTGGAAAAGGGACAAAAAAGAGCTTGTTTCTGGCGAGTTTGTGAAGGTAAAAGAGCAAACCATCAGGCCAACCCTAGAGGGGAAGCATTCATGTCCGTCTCTGGAGTTCATGGACAGAGAGAAGAGTAAATGGAAAGTCACATTTTCTCTGTAATTCTGGAAGGACATTGGATTTCCAAGTGCCATTTCCATGAGTGAGGTGAGGGCATGTTGTATTCATTTGCAATCACTCAGAAGGAGACTACCCTTTTCTCTCCCTCATTGGTCTCCTTGACAAACCCTTGCTGGGACTTTGGGGAGTTTACACAGCTCTTCTAGGAGAAGTCACTTGTGATAGAAGAACATTTGCCCAGTAGAGCTGTGCTCATTAGAACTAAGAAGACCAACTTAGAACTCCGCAAATAAAGATGCATTCATATGTATACCTCAATACAGACATCATGTTACAGGTTTTATAAAACTTTTCTAACATCTGTTTTGCTTTCCTTGTTAATTCCCCATCCTTCCCCATCCCTACTCCATTCCCCTACCCCAGCGTGCAGAGTGAATTCCTCAGTAAAAAATGCTTATAAACTCTGCCTTTTAAGCTGGCTTCCAGAGATTGTTTTTGAAGATTTCTTCCTTCCCTACCCGTTCCTTTCAGCCAGCTAGTCAGCAGGCCATTCCAAGGGTTCAACCTTGACAGATCTCTGCCTTCAGGTGCAAGTGTTTTGCCATCACCTGGCACCTTCCAGTCTCCTAGGGCCTGCTGCGAGTCCATTGGGCATCAGAGATGATGGCACTGAACAGGGTTGGATCAGCAAAAGCAGTGACCCACAACTGTGGGCCTAAGCAAACTGCCAATCTAAAGCAGTTGTGCTGGGTAAAGTTCCATACATGTTCTCTTTCTTGAAACTTCTGCAGTTAGACTTATCCCTCTGAGAAAATTTATTTACGTATAGTTCTGACCACGCCCCCTCCACTTTGTTTTTTTCATTCTTTACTTGAATATCCTAGAATCTTGAAGTTTGTCCAAGAGAGTGAAAATCTCTGTATTACAGCAAATCAGACCTAAAGGGAATTTAAACCAGGCCCTTCAGTTTTTCAGCCAGGATGCTGATACCCATTGAAACAAAGAGAATTGCCTCAGGGCATACAGCTAGTTAGAAACATATTCAGAGCTAGAAGTCAAGTCTCCTCTCATTCAGTGCTTAAACCCGATTCTCTTTTTCATTTAAATGTGTGTCTGTTTAGAATGTAAGGATATGAGATATTGGTAGTTCAATTAGAGTTCTGCATTCCATGTGGGAGACCTGGGTTCAACTGCCAGCAAATGCACCTCATGCACAGCTACCACCCATCTGTCAGTGCAGGCTTGCATGTTGCTATGATGCTGAACAGGTTTCAGCAAAGCTTCCAGACTAACACAGATTGGGAAGAAACAGTGGGTGATCTACTTCAGAAAATTAACCGATGATAACCTTATGGATCACAACGGTTCGGTCTACAGTCCATCATGGGGGTGGTGCAGGACCAGGCAGTGTTTCATTCCATTGTGCGTGGGGTCGCCATAAGTCGGGCTGACTCAACAGCAGCTGACAACAAGCGCATATATATGCAGTATACATTGCAGCTGTCTGTACATAGTGATATTTATTCCAATAAGAATAAAATTACACGTAATAGATGACATTTATTATCAAGTGTCTGACATTATCCTAAGAACTTTATGTATGTAATATCATTTGACAATTTATTAGGTAGGTGTGATTATTTCCTCGATTTGCACTAGGCTGCTAACTGAAGTCTGTGGTTTGAACCCACCAGCTGCTTCATGGGAGAAAGATGTGGCAGTCTGCTTCTGTAAAGATTTACAGCCTTGGAAACCCTGTGGGGCAGTTCTGCTCTGTCCTATAGGGTTGCTATGAGTCAGAATTGACTCTACGGCAATGGGTTTGTGATTATTTTCTCAATTTCCAGTTGAAGCAATTGAGGGACAGAGAAGTTAAATAACTTGCTTTTAGCATGCAGGGAAGTTCTTTTAGACTGTGACTTCCCTGGGATTCAGGACTGTGTTTGCATCAGCAAACATGTATTGAGTCTCTAGAGTGTTTGAAGCCCCTGTCTTTCTAATGGGGGCTAGATCATGAGCAGATCGATCACAGCAGCACAGGGTGATGGCTATAACAGAGGCAGGAAATAAGAGTGGTGGGATTTAGAGAAGAGAGTAATGGATTTCACCAATGAGGTGGCATTTGAATGATCTTGAAGATGCATAGACGTTTGGCAGCTAGAGAATAGATGTTTGTGCACAAAAGGATGGAAAGACCTACTGTGGTCAGGGAAAAATCAGAAGAATGAGAAGTTCACAGGGCATGATGGTAGGCGCGTGATGATTGTTGCGAAATTTTTTGGAGATGATGCTAGAAAGGCAGGTTGGGAGTAGATTGTAAAGTATCTGCATCTTAAGATAAAGAATTTGATTACAACCTGTAAACAAAGAGAACCAACAGAAATTTTTTGAGTAGGTATATTCGTTTCTTAGAACTGCGGTAATAAAGTATCACAAAACAACAGAAATTTGTTGTTTCACAGTTCTGGAGGCTAAAAGTCCAAAATCAGGGTGTCAGCAGGGCTGTCTTTGTTTCTGAAGGCTCTAAGGGAAGATCTTCTCTTGCCTTTTCCACCTTCTGATGGTTCCTGGCAATCATTGATGTTCCTTGGCTTATAGATGCATCACTTCAATCTTTACCTCCATCTTCACATGATTGTCTTCCCTGTGTGTCTGTGTCTCTTCTCCTGTTTTTATAAGGACCCCAGTCATATTAGATTCAGATCCACCCTACTCCAGTATAGTCTCATGTTAGCTTAACTAATAACATCTTCAAAGACTTTATTTGCAAACAAGGTCAACACTCACAGGTACTGTGATTTAAGACTTCAACATACCTTTTAGAAGGGTACAATTCAACCTATAACAGTAGGAAAGTGACAGGAACAGATTGCTGGGGTCTTTGTTTCCAAGACCACAGGGGCATGGGGAGACTGGTAACAAGGAAACCATTTATTAGGAGGGTATTGCAGTTATCCAGGTGGAAATGAAGAGGGCCTGAACTCCTTATAGTCGTCTGACTGGCACAGGATGCCTCCACTCTTTGGCTCATACCGCTTTCTTGGCTTGGGATGCTCTGTCTAACCCAGTCTCCTGGGAAGTGGACCCATTCTCCAAGACTGAATTGGGTGTTCCATATGGAGATTTTCCTGTGTCCCCATCCTGGATAGACTTGAACTCTTTTTCCTTTGGGCCTTCTCTGTCTTTGGCACATTCTTCTTTCTCTCTTGAAACACATAGACCTTGTTGCACATCTTGGAGTATATTTCCCCCTTCCCCTCAAAACACAGCTCCTTGAAGGCAAGACTTAACCTTTTCTTCCTTAAATACTTGGTATACTGCCTGATGTTTACTGAGCTCTCGGTAAATGTATGATGAATGAATAAACTTTCTACATAAAGGCAGTGATTATGGGTATGGGAAGAAGAGACCAAATTTGGGAGATTTTTCTGTTTTTTTAGATAGATCAGTGGTTGGCAAACCATAGCCCAGGGGCCAAATCCAGCCTGCTGTCTGTTTTGTAAATAAAGCCCATTTGTTTACATATTATCTATGGCTGCTTTCACTCTGCAATGGCAGAGTTGAATAGTTGCAACAATACCAAATGGCCTGCAAATCCAAAAATATCTACTACCTGGTCCTTCACTGAAAAAGTTTGCCAACCCCTGAATTAGATGAATGGGATTAATGACTAGAGGTAAAATGTGAAGGAAGAAAGATAGCCAAGACTTTTTCTTTTTTCATAGCTCTCAAGTGATGGCATTGACCAATGGGCCTGAATGTACTGAGAAAGAAATACCCATGGCTGTGGGGCAGGACAAAAGGGAGCCCAAGAGAAAAACACAGAAAGTGACCCCAGTTAGAAAAGACAATAGGCCAGAACTGCGATGCAGAATTGATCCAAGTCCCACTTCTCTCTGGTGAAGCCTCTCATCCTTTTCTCTCTCCTAGTCATCCAGTTTGGTTTTGTTACCCTCTTTGTGGCCTCCTTTCCTCTGGCTCCTGTATTTGCCCTCCTCAACAATGTCATCGAAGTGCGGCTTGATGCAAAGAAATTTGTTACTGAGCTAAGACGGCCAGATGCTGTGAGAACCAAAGATATCGGTATGTCTCCCATTTCCTCCCTCCCTCCTCTACCTTGTGTCCTGCCACTATCCCCACACTATGTCAGGAATCAAGAAGACTGGGGAAAGCACTTGCCTCTTCACCCCACTGAGTTCCTCATCCTCATATCCTCAGGTTCTTTATCCACCTGCACGCATCCTCCCAGCTTCTAGACAGGGGTGCACCTAAGCCGTTCCAGACAAGTCCATTCCTAGGGGGCCCTGAAATCCTCCCCTGGAAATTTGCCTGCAAAACGTCACCCTGAGCTGCAGCGTTGTCATCATGGGGCCAAGGGTGGGAGTGAGCCAGATGCCTTCCTTTCTGTCTTACAGGAATTTGGTTTGACATTCTTTCCGGAATCGGCAAGTTCTCCGTTATCATCAATGTAAGTGCTTACATTCATGACACCCTAGCTCTGTGGAGAAGAGTTTTCCAGAGATGAAGTGTTCCAAGCAGGACACTGACCCTTATTACCTCCTAGCCACCCCCAATTTGAGCCTCATTTAAGCCAGTCCCCTGGTTAGTAGTACATACATGCCTTCTAACTCATTGTGCTGTCACCAGAGCCGTGCCATTACTTTTCATATTTCCCTAAGAGAAAGAAAGGCAATTACCCATCAGAATGCATACCTTGGCCCTAAGAGCCAAAATCAGATCTTTCCTCAGAGCCAAGAATAATGAGGAAAGAATTCCACATATCTATCCATCTCTTTCCTTTCCTCTTTTCTTTCTTTCTCTACTCCTGAGCTAAACAATACTTGGAGCGTTGCCCAGGCTGCAATTCCTAAGTACAGTTCCTCCAAGTTGTCAGTGTGAAGTCTTAATTATCCACATGGACTCTGGCACTGTGTAGGTTAAGATAGGACATGGAAGAAGAGGAGTCCTACCTGTTGTAACCTCCTTAACTGCCTTTCCAGACATATCCATATTTCCAGAGGAAATCTTGCTGGATCCAAGCCAACAGCCCCTTTTTTTTTGCTTTCTGTACCCATGGTGGCCAGGCAGGGCCTATCACTCTACCTCCCAAAGAAATATTAGCCAGCTCAGTACACACCAAGAAAGCCACAGCCTGTTTTCCCTTGGGAAACATTGATTCTGGCTCTAATCTGATTCCCTGTTAAGAACCATAAAATGGATGGAGAGGTGTGAGGAGACAGAAAGAACCAGCCCATTTCATTTTGAGTTCGGCTACAAATATGTTGGATACAGGAAGCACACATCATGAGGTTTAGAAATAAAGTCCCATTTGGGAAATAGATCAGTAGCTACTTTGAAGTTATGTCTACTAGAAAAATGCCCTGAGTCTTAACCACTTGCCATCTATAGAATAGAGTGACATCAAGTTTTACTTCCCTGGCCTCTCTAAGATTTGTTTACTTCTCTGTAAAATGGGAGATAATAATAGCACCTACCAAATAGGATCGTTCTGGAAATTAAATGAGATGATGAACAGACATATGTAAGTGCTAAGTAAACCATAGCTATAATTATCATAAATATGCTATCCATCCTCAAATATGGTTATAACCATCCATATTCACATATACATTTAGAAAACATTTTCTGACCTACGTATTTTTTAAAAGGCTTTAACTGTTGGTACAGAATAGAGTATAAACATCTGCCGAGAAGATTTAAGATTTTCTTTGCAGAAAGTACATCCATATTCAAACATCCAATCACTCATTTGTTGTTTGGTTTGCTCTGTAGACATTTATAGGTCACTTATATATATATGGCCAGAGGTTATTCTGGGTATGTATGGTTCCATCTAGCAGGATCCTCTCCTTCCCTCTCTATGTCTCACTTTTCCTAAGTAAAATGGGTAAAAGATGACGTACTTCCATAAGATGGTATACGAAAAAGGGTTGAGAAATAATGGTCAAATTGAGGGAACTATGGAATCATATCATTGGCATTCCTGGCTTGCTGGTGTCACTCAGGAGTGGATGTACATTGCCACATAATATCCTTGCCCATTGCACATAAATGGCACTCTCACCAATATAGATGAATTTTTCAGAAAATTTTCCAATGTGTTTCACTTGGCCAATACCAATGCCAATTCAAGTATCTCAGAGGTAGCATAATCTCTCCAGCACCAAATGGTCCAAACTGGTTTAGCATCCTTTACTGCAGTGGTTGTGACAGCCACTGCCTGGTGGATTTACTTAGACATATCAGAGATAGAAAAGGAGCAAGTCAGTTGCATGGCCTCAGGGACCAGGGTCCTAAGCCTGACGCATGTCCTCCCACGTCAGAGTAGCACCTCTGGATGGGGAATCCAAGCATGGACGATCACTGAGCCAGATGAACTCTGAGGACCTGGACAGCGTCCATCCTGACCACCCCTCAAGTGTTTGTGGTTCTTTCCCTCAGGCTTTTGTCATCGCCGTCACCTCCGACTTCATTCCCCGCCTTGTGTACCAGTACTTCTATAGTCACAATGGGACTCTGCATGGCTTTGTCAACCACACCCTCTCCTTCTTCAATGTCAGCCAGCTGAAGGAGGGAACACAGCCAGAAAACTCACAATTTGGCCAGGAGGTTCAATTCTGCAGGTAAAGTAATCAGGAGGAGGAGCACAGTCGAAGACCAGCAGCAAATTAGCCTTGTGAGGCCACCAAATAATTTTCTGGATGATCTAGGATTCAATCATTCTCCTTTCCCTCTTTCTCCCACCTCCCACCCTGAATCACTATAAAACCAGCTTTGCTAAATCAACAAATACTTATTAAGTGCCTTTTACTAGATGCTATGGAGCAGACAAAGAAATACATACAGCCTTGTCCTCACCCTCAAGGGATTTATGTTCTGGTTGGGAAGAAAATAAGCAGAAGAGATAGGAAGTATAAGATCATTCAGTGTTCATGTGTAGCATGGACCATGAGCATTGTGGGTGCTTGGAGAGAAAGGAGGGCCAGTAAGAGTTGTAGGACAGAAAGGAAGAGCATTCTAGATAGAAAGAGAGCATGGGCAAAGCCATTAGGGTTGCGATGAATTTGGGGTCTTAGATAAACACTTAGAGGCTAGACAATGTAGTTAGCAAGGAGAGTTCTTGGGAAATAATATTGAAAATACAACTTATGTAAAACTTCTAAAATAGTATAAGCAAATCAGTTGCTGAATTTGAATAGGTAGGAGGAGTAGGCCCTGAAATCACACAGGAGTTTTAATGTGATACAACAAGAAGATACTGACCTTTTCAGTGCCAGGGAATGATAGGGTAAAGGGTCATTGTTGTTGTTGTTCTTAGGTGTGTTGTTGTTGAGTTCGTTCTGACTCATAGCAATGCTATGTACAACAGAACGAATCACTGTTCGCTCCTGCGCTATCCTCACAATCGTTGCTGTGTTTGAGCCCATTTGTTGTAGCCACTGTGTCAATCCATCTCATTGAGGGTCTTCCTCTTTTTCACTGACCCTCTACTTTACCAAGCATGATGTCATTCTCTAGGGATTGGCCCCTCCTGATAACATGTCCAAAGTATGTGTCTGAGGCTGGGTTCTCTAGAGAAGCAAAACCAGTAAAGTGTATAAATATATATATAGAGAGAGATTATATCAAGGAAACAACTCACAAGATTGTAGAGGCTAAAACGTCCCAAGTCCGTGAATCAGGGTAGAGGTCTCTCCCAAGTCACACAGCCGCAGAAGCTGGCAAGCCCAAGATCAGCAGGTCGGAGAGCAGGGCTCCCCCTCACAGACTGTGCAGATCGACGAATCCTAGGTTCTGCAGATAAGCTGACAGCTCAGGTCCCAAGAACGGGAGATGAGATGACAGGAAGCAGCCGCAGGATCCAGAGAGATCAAAAAGCCAGAACGTCTGCTTATATTCAGATGCAGGCCACGCCCCCAAGGAGACTGTCTTTCATCTGACTGGCTACTCACAGTATATTCAATCATGAGAATGATTACATTAAAACACTGAGAATCATGGCCCAACCCAGTTGACACACAATCTTAACCATCACAGTATGTTAGATGTAGTCTCACCATCCTTGCTTCTAAGGAGCATTCTGGCTATACTTCTTTCAGGATAGATTTGTTCATTCTTCTGGAAGTCCAGGGTTTAAGAAAATCGAGGAAGATGGACTAGAACCTGGAGAACTCAGGGAGAGCCACTCAGTTACTGCATCATTCAAACATAAACCATGGTGGGCATAGGCCAGGGTGGTAGAAAGAATTAAGAGGAAAGGAAAAGATGAGCTATTTCATGTAATACATTGCAAAGTTGATGACAAGAGACATAAGAGACAGGCTGAGTTAATGATGTCTAAAAAGTTTGAACTGAAGTCAGAAGACTGGTGAAAGGTGGTTCCATTAACAAAGTCAGGGAAGATAAGAGAATCTAATTTCTTGATATATATGATGATTTTTATTTCAATCATGTTGCATTTAAACGATGAATTTAAGCGATGGTAGGAAATACAAGGGGCAATTTTCACCTAAATCATAGACACACTAAACTGGAATTCCAGAGAGTTCCAGCTTATAGCCATGATTGAAATCCATCAGCACAGAGATAAGTGAAGCCAGAAATAGATAACTCTCCACTATTTACCCAAGAAGGGAAAATAAAGAGAAGAGCCAAGGGGAATAAACTCTTTAACCCTTTTATGCCCTCAGTTAAATGATAGTCCCTATACAGGACTTGATCAAAAATCACACCTCATCTACTAAAAAAACAAACAAACAAACAATAAGTATTATAACAAAAACAACAGCACGTAAAGTATTGTGGACCACTGTTAGATATTTAGGGCTTTCTCCAACCATCCCCAGTAGTGTCTGATGTAGAAGCTGCCAATGCCCTCACCCAGGAAACATTGTTTTCAGTTGTATTTGCAGCAGTGATGATCTTGGGCATGTCTGTCATGTTTCTCCCAACTGGGATGCCTTGGTAATCAAGGTCAACCATTTTCAAGACAGCTGTTTAGGTGTGGAGTCACAGTTTGAGACTACAATAGAGAGAACATGAATTGTTCGTCCTAATGCAGGTGGCTGAGTTAAACAACCTTATCAATTTGTGAGTTAAATAGAAGGATATTCTGGTATGAGGAGCAATAACTTTAGGGTTCAACTCTAGCCAACCAAGAAAAGATGCAAAATCCAGGACCAGACCCATCCCATTTGCATCAGCTTAGATGTTACAGGTATATTGACATGTGGAGCTGTAAAGAGACTGACTTGGACTAAAGTTGCATTGCAGGCAGATTTGCTACTAGATTATGCACTGCCCAGTGGCCACTTGTCTGTTTGACTGGGGTGTCAGACTCTCCATGGTGCTGGATGTTGGTCTCTAGAGGATGGTACTAGCTCCTGGCCTTTTCCAGTGGCATTTAGGTCTGCTCCAGCAAATTCCACAAAGTCAGTAGAACGGTTTGCATTAAACAAACAGATACTGAAAAGTAAGAATTAGAAATTTATTTTTTTAACTGGAAGGGATCATAGATATTATTTTATTGAAACTCCTCATTGTACATGAAAGACAAACAAACAAAAAAATCAACAACTGAGGCTTAGACAGCTGAAGAGCTTCCCAAGAAGACGATCCCGAACTAAACCACAGATCTATCCGGAACTGAGGCTTCAACCCCTGTGTGCAGTGGGGAGCAACATGGGTGTGACTTGTCATGTGGGGAAAGAATAACATTATCTGTTCCTTTAGTTGATCTAGATGCACCTGTCACATAACAGAGAACCAAGTGTCTCTGACCTTGCCCCTGACCTTCAGAACTTCTAGTAACTTCTAATAATATATCTGGAATATGCTTTCCAGAAGCAACAGTTGCTTAAATTGGTTTAACCAAGAAAGGAATTTAATGGCCCCTATAGTTGAAAGTTGAGAGTAGGTCTAATTTTAGACAAGGCATGATTCAATCAATGTTGTCTAAACTCTCAACTCTACTCCAGTTAATGTTGACTATATTTTAAAGCTCCATAAGACTCCCAGCAATGACAGGCCAGTATCATACTGGGTTCAAGTCTAGCAGGGAAAAAAGATCAGGCCCCTTTCCCAACGACCCCAGCAAAAGTCTCATTGTTTCCTATTGGCCGGGATCAGTATACACCTACTTTCAATCAATCACTGTAGCCAGAGGAATATGATGCTCTCAGTGGCCAAGCCTGAATCCTCTGGGAATGGGGGCAGTGGGTAGTCATCTCCATCTAAAGCACATGACCTTGGAGTAGTGGGAAATTAAAGTGAATGGATACTGCACAGCCAAAACAACCAATGTTCAGGATACCAGGTATTAGCACACGTGGATCAGAGTAAGCTTTCTTGTATCTACTTCCAGACTCACTGAATATCCCAGCCAGCTCTAAAACTCTGGTAGTCTTCTCTCCATTGTTTCCATGCAATGAGTTGGGATCATGGCTTTTCTATGCCCTTCTTTTTAAAAATAAGTTATTTTTTGTTGTTGTTGAAAATATACACAGTAGAACAAACACCAATTCAACAACTTCTACATGTACAATTCAGACATTCATTGCATTCTTCAACCATTCTCACCCTCCTTTTCCAAATTGTTCCTGCCCCATTAATGTAAACTCACTGCTCCCTAAGCTTCCTATCTAACTTTTTGAGTTGCTGTTGTCAGTTTGATCCCATATTGATAATTCTTTAAGAGAATGCAATGCACAAATATCCCCCCCAGTTTTAAAATTCTGCCACAGATTGGCACTCAGGAAGTGCACTTTAATTCTATTTTATGCCAAGAAAATTTATCTGAGGATAATAGGTCATTTCAGGATCAAACTGAAATGACTTTTGCCATACCCACCATTTTTCATTACTTTCAATATCAGTGAAGATTACAGGTTCATTATGTAAATATTTTTGAGGCTCTATTATATGCTTGACATTGGTTATATAATAAGGACCGTATAATAAGGACCAAGATACGGTGCTTCTCTCAAGGAGTCCAGATGGAGAAGATGAGTAATTAAAACTGAGCAATTAAAATACAGTTTTACTAAGTTACAGTTGGGTAACTGCAGAGAGCTGAGAGCCCTTCGAGGGGGCCATGCACCTAACTGAGACCTAAGTGTTCAGGGGCAGTATCAAGGGAGATGAGGCCTGAAGAATGAACAGTGCATGAATGACCACAGTGATAATCTTGTTGCAATTCCTCATTCACATGACCAAATCAACCTGAGTGGTAAGTGGGGTGCAGAGGGTGGTGGGAGGTAGGGGTGTCAGGTGGTAAAGGAGGTCCAGGGAGAGTAACATGCTTCAGGTAGAGGGGCTACTGTGTGCTTAGGTCCTTCAAATAAGAAAGTTCGACTCCTTGGAAGTAACCATAGGTAGTTGGAGCTAGAGTGAGAGAGGTAAGCTATGAAAAGACACTAAAGGAAAAAGCAAAAGCCAGATCAAGAAGAGCATGTTGGTCATATTGAGGTGTGTGGGAGACCACTGAAGGGGTTTAAGAGAGCAATGATGAGATCAAACATTTGCTTCGGCATGACCTTTCTGATTACAGTGTGAAGACTAGGGAAAATTAAGGGTTACATTTAAAATAAAGAGATGCCCTACTATCACATACGCAGATGCCTAG